CGGCACGGAGTGGGTGAGAATAGAGGAGGGGCGTCGGCACGGAGTTTCTCTCGTATCAGTCAGAGCGTAAAAGAGAAAACCAAAAATAAAATAAATAGAAAAATAAATCAGTTCCCAGCCGTGTTACAGAAGGATTCTACACGTCGTAGGGCCCAGATCCACCTGCAGCTTCTATCATCCATGAGACTCTGAGCCTGGCAGGGACACTCACCCAGAGGGAAGGGAGAGGATCAGAGACACTGAGGAGAATGGAGGAACGAGAGGGACAAGAGCCGGAGGGGGTGAATGACCACACGGGGGTTTCATATATACGTGTAGGTCAAGTGGACTCGCTCCGAATAATTAGTAGTAGCCAATTAAACATTTAACCGGGCGGGGTCAATATGACGTGGACTTGCGTAATGAGATCCATGCTCCCCAGATCCTCTCCAATTTGCCGTAAGAGTCCAGCCAAGAGTGCAGATAACTGCCCGTTGACCATCGTGTCAGTGATGCGGTTTTTGACTTCCAGAAAACTTAGCACGGGGGAGGGTCTTCCAGGACCTGGCAATAGTTTGTTTGGTGGCCATAAATATTTGGGGGATTAAACTGTGTTGTCTCTTAAGGACACTTGGAACAGGCTTATGTAAAAGCGCCTCCCATTGCATCCCATGTCTTTAAAAGAAGCGGCACCGCAAACGGTAGGGTATCGGCACTGGATCTAACCAAAGATCCTAACTGAGGAAGTCAATATGGAATTACCGGCCAGACGGCCATTTCCAAGGAAACCCAAAGTTTGTGTTCCTCATTGATTCAAAATATGAGTCAACAGAGAGGCCCTGTAATACTTTTCAGTGTGGGGAAGACCCAAGCCACCGAACAAGAATATCACATCTTCCTCTAGGGGACACCCGAGCCTGAATATCATACAATAAGTCCGTTCTAAGCTGAGCACGCGGGACACTAATGGGGACTCTCTGAGATAAATATAGAAATTGGGCCAAAACCGACATTTTCAGGACCTAACCAGGACTGTGAGAGCTTAGACCAAGTCTGTAGATCTTGCCATGTTAGGGTGGCAGTAAATGACGGGTGGCAGTAAATAATGGATGGTAGTGAATGATGGAGGGCAGTAAATGACGAATGGCAGTGAGTGATGAGTGGCAGTAAATGATGGAGGGCAGTAAATGACGAATGGCAGTGAATGATGGGTGGCAGTAAATGACGGATGGCAGTAAATGATGGGTGGCAGTAAGTGATGGGTGGCAGTAAATGACGGATGGCAGTGAATGATGGATGGCAGTGAATGACGGATGGCAGTAAATGATGGATGGCAGTGAATGACGGACGGCAGTGAATGATGGGTGGCAGTAAATGAATGACAATGCAACGCCTGGTCCCCTGTGTGCATCTCTTGTACCTCTGTGTGGTATCAGTCATTCCTTGAGTCTTACATTCCAGTGCTGTTCTCTGCTTACATCCCCTTTCCACTTCGGTCAGCTGTGTCTGCACGGGTGTGTTGGAGGGCCGCAACCTGGGAGCTGTCCTGCAGAGCAACATCTCTACTATTAGGAGCTCTGGAGAAGACCTGGATCTCCGTAGACTCTGCACCTCTAGCACACCCATGCCAAACATACAGTCACCCCGTCCTTACACTCCTTCAGATTCGGTGTCCCAGGCCTGTTTCCTACTCTGGCTGCTCTGCAAACTTTAGAGCCAACGTTCCCCAGTGCCCTTGGATCCCGGACCGTGACAGTATCTGCATGTTATGGCTGGTGACTGATTTTTGCTGCCGCACATTCAGCCTCACCATCCGAGTCTCTGGAGAAGACCGGGATCTCCTCAGATTCTGCACCTCTGACACAGACATGTTTACTGTGCAGTCACTCTGTCCTTGGTGCCCTGCGTTTAACGTACCCAGTATCTCCTCATTCCCAAGACCTGTATTCCTGGCCAGTTCCCTGTTTCGGACTGGGTGACAGAGAATCCCATTGACCCGGATATTCGCTGGATAATAACAGCGAGGATCCGGGATATAAGGACAATATTAGTTGTTGCAGCCCTAATCTTAAGCAGTAAGGACAGCGGAATCCCTATATTCTGTTCGGTGCTCTGGATAAAAGACCAATCTAGGCGGTAAAACGCCTTCTCAGCATCAACTAATACTAAACATAAAGGAATATTATGTGTCTGGGTGTATTGATGAGGGTCAAAGTTTTCAGGGTATTGTCTCCAGATTCCCTCCTGGGGACATCGGCTGCAGTTTTATACGCGTTGGTGATATCACTTCTGAGCGTAATGTACAATCAGGAAGTGATGTCAACTACAGACAGGAAGTGATGTCAAAGGCACACAGTGAAGTCAGACAAAGTCAAGAAGTTCTGACCAAGAGGCGAGGTGAGAGTAAGTAGTGAGGAGACATCACTGCAACTGGAAGCAAAGGAGGTAATAATAATTATTTTATATTTACATCCAGTAACCCCCCCCCTGTCATGTCCGTCCTCCATAGTCACTGTGATATTTGTAATGGTTTATAGACCGGATACATCCTAAATATAGAGCCATTTATCCAACTGTCCATCCAGAGCCACCATTTATAGACCGGATACATCCTATATATAGAGCCATTTATCCAACTGTCCATCCAGAGCCGCCATTTATAGACCAGATACATCCTAAATATAGAAAAGGGGTGTGGAATTCCTGTCGCCCGACGCCCGGGACAGGCAGTTTCGGGCGAGTAGTTTTTCTCTACATTAAGCCCGGCTGCGGGCAAGCAGCACGGTTAAATGTAGTGCGGGAGCCGTTTTGTATGAGTGATTTAAAACGGCCGTCCAAAAAATCACTCGTAACCTGCCTGAATCATGCTTCTCCTCCCCCCTCCCCTCTCCTCCTCCCCCTCCCCTCTCTCTTTATCTCC